AGGCTCTGTGTCAGGTGCTGGGTGAAAATGTAAAGGAGATCAGGGTACATGATGGTGTCATAGCTGTGATGGCATTTACCCCTAGAGTTCTTCTATAGTGACTCAGCACAGAGACCACAGAACATTTTATCTTGAAGAAGAATCAATGTAAGATTTCCCTGAAGTGTTGTAACATTTGCCCTACATATAGCTGTGTGACTGATTTCTCTAATGGCATCAGACTTACTTGTGAATGTTTATTGGTTCACACTCAGATTTAACACACAGTGGGCTTTAAAACTTGTATTTAAAGGTATACAATAACATAATAATAAAAGGTATAATATAATATACATATAAGATAAAGTAGAAACAGTTATTTAGAGAAAGTACTTGTAACATGCATTTTTGGTGAATCTGATTTTTAATTTGTAATCAAAATAAAAAAGTTAAAATTCTAACTTGAAAAGAAGACAAATGGACAGGAACCATTATAGTGCTAGCACAAAAAGTCCTTGTTCAGCCTTGTGCTGGGATAAGGTCTTCACACAAGGGTAGTCCTGCTTTTATGTTTACTCGGTCCTGTTCGCTTCCCCCAACGCCCATAGTCAGCTTTGTAATCTGTTTACTCTTGTCATGATGTGCTAATTATTCACCAAGTGGCCCTCAGTAATTTTTTTTTCTTAAATGGTGCATACAAGCTTTGGGAAAATGCAGTTCCCTAGGAGTCTCTTTGCCCATTAGGGTGCTCATTCATTAAGTCCCTTGTACTCAAGTTTTGTGAACTATTTCCTCTCCATTTAATAAATTTAGTGACTGCTTCAATGCATTCAGAGCTTCCGAACATTATTTTGGAAGCTGTAATTTAAACAATGGACAAATTGAAATGCTGGTGTTTTTATGTTTACAGCAAACTCAAGGCCATTACATATGCAAGGGCTTTTTGTGAGAAATGTAGATTTTTTGTGATTAATGAGAATTTTTTGTTTGTTTTTTTGTTTTTTGTCTTTTTGAGGCAGGGTCTCCCTGTAGCCCCAGCTGTCCTGGAACTCACTATGTAGACCAGGCCGGCCTTGAACTCACAGAGATCTACCTGCCTCTGCCTCCCGAGTGCTGGGATTAAAGGCGTGCGCCACCACACCCGGAGAATTTTTATATTAACCATTACAGTTTGCTTCAGGTGCTTATAGTATATTCAAGAAAGCACACTTGGGGAGCAGTAAATAATATAACCACCCCTGTGAAGCACCAGAATGTCATGGAAAGTCCTATAAGACTAAGTTTTCCTTTGCAGCACTTAGATGCAAGAAGCAATCTCTATTGGATTTTTAAAATTTAGAGCACTGGCTTACTAGCAAATGGCTAAATGTAATATAACTAGAACACAATTTTTTATATAATTTAAAACTTTTTATATGACTATAAAAATAATCTCATGGTATGATATAATATAACTCACACAGATAAATGTGAGAATATAAATTAAATGAAAGAGTAACATTAAAGGCCTGGGAATGTAGCTCAGTGACACAGTGCTTGCCTAGCACATGTGAGACCACAAGTTTGATCCCCAACACACACACACACACACACACACACACACACACACACAAAAACCCACCAACACACAGAAAAGAAAGAATAATAAAAATAATATTAAGATTTACTATGGAACGAACTTTCTAAAAATAATCACTGAAACAAATTTGAAAGTCTTTGAAGCATAAAATTTGACCATGGGTGTGACTTTTCAAATGCATGTTTATAGAGTTGCTGAAATTTTAGCTTCAAATCAAAATCCCTTTGGTGATAGAAAATTTTTAGAGTTTTTAGATTGTGTGTGTATATGTGTAGTATATGAACACATGTGCAGATGCATGTGCCTGTCCATGGCTAGAGGCCAGACAAGGATGTCTGATGTTCTGCACTATCATTATAGCCTATTCCCTCGAGACAGAGTCTCTCACTGAACCTAGAGTTAGGCTAGAGATCAGCAAGCTCCAGCAATCCACCTTTCTCTATCCCCCTCTTCCCAACACCCAGGTTACAGTTGCTCATGGCCACACCCAGCTTCTTATGTGAGTTCTGGGGATTTGAACTCAAGTCCTCATGCTTGTACAGGAAGCACTCTTATCTGCTGAGTCATGTCCAAGCCCTGATAGAAAGCTTTAAAATAATTACATCTAGTTATAGATTTTTTTCTTATATTAAAAATGTTTCTATCCAATACATTCAGAAAGTATATGTAAGAATTTCTACAAATCAGATTATTTATTTGGTCAGACAGGGTAACCTCAACCTATCTATGACTGTGGTTTCTCAAATCTGGCTCAGTCCCCTACCATCTATCTCTCACGTATCTATCTCTGAGATAAAGGAATCTGAACTCTCTCATAGCTGGCTTACCATGTAGCTGGTTTATCCTCACAAAAATAGCTTTAACTCTAGAGGGAGGCTATAAGTGAGGATGAGTGTTAGAGATGAAGGAGAAACTTTAATCCGGAGAAGCATGCTAGAATGAACAGAAGGCCTGTCTTCTAACACAGATTTTTCACCTCACTTCCCAGATACGTTTTAACTTTCTCTACCTGTCCATATTTACCTTTATTTGAATTCATGGGATTACAGGCACCCATACGCATTGGTAAGAAGTCACAAATGGATGTGGTAGGGGAATTTTCAGTAAATTTGTTTTACAAATGATTGCTGGCCAAATAACATAGAGTTAAATCAACATCTAAAGGAAGAAGAATGATGTGGCAAGGTCCATTCCCTCTGCAAACAGCTGAGCTGAGTGCAAGGTTCACAACTCTTACCTCCCCCACCTTGGAAACAGAGCCTGAAAGGGACAGGTGACACGCTCCCAGTCCCTCTCCCTTCTGCATTGCTGAACTCTGATGCAGTCGTCTGGCAGCCCCATGAGTAGGTTAAGTGGTCGCCAATTGTGTCGTTGTATGATTTGAGGAACATAGAAGAAGCTCCTGTGCACACTGCCTCACCCAGGAACTTGCCAAGTTAGTTTCAGAAGGTAGTTGAAATTTCACAGTTAATTCTTCATTGTCTTTTCTCAAGCAAGGGGTTAGATTTTAGCTAATGTCAATATTCCTGGGGAAGGTAGCTCACTGACCTGTTAGTCATTCATAGCTTAGTTGGGGTGAGCTTGATGATAATCTACACAGGAGATGATAAGTGTAAACTCATTTTCTAATTCATAGTCAGTTAAATATTAAGTTATTGTATCACATTTGGATTGAATAATCTTCTTTACTATCATAGCTAGTATTTATTGGTGCTTACTGAAGGCTAAGCATTGCCTTAAGATGTAATGACCATGAGCTATATGAAATATAGAGTACATAATTACTGCCTTGATACAAATAAGAAAGAGGAAGCACAGAGAGGGTGAGTAACTTTGCAACAGTCATAGGGTTGGTAGTTGGCCTAAGCTGAAATTTGTATTTGGCAATCTAGATGCAAATCTGTACTATAAACCAGCTTCCACTGAATTCTTTTCTTCAGAGGTATACTGGCTCCAACATGTGGGAGAAGGAAAGAGATCTGTGAGATATCTAAAGTTCCCTGAAAATGTTATCATACCAAGAACTATTATAATATGGCTGTAATTATTTATCTGATTTATAATTTTTATTTTATGTGAGTGTTTTACCTGCATGTGTGTAAGTGCACCCATGTCATGCAATGCCTGCAGAGGCCAGAAGAGGGTGCCAGAGCCCCTGGAACTGGAATGACAGTTGTTAGCCATCATGTAGGTGCTGGGAATTGAAGCCAGGTCCTCTGCAAGAGCAGGCAGTGCTCTTAACACTGAGCCATCTCTCCAGCCACAGTTGTAATTATTTTTGACACCAGGTCCTGACAGTTCATTTACTCTGTTTATTGTGAGCATCAGTGTAATGGGAATGTTAGAATGCCAGCATCAGGCACTTACTGCTCTGTGGCTGAGGCAGTTACCATCATTACCATCATCTTTGTGACCTTGGGCAACATTGTCACCCTTCTCATCATTGAACCCTGCCATTTGTTAAGGGCTTCTTGGGTCCCAGGAACTACGCTTAGTATACTCCCTAGATGATCTCATTTAACCCTCAAAGCAAACACATGGGATGATGGGCATAACCCATTTTGCAGATGAGAGAACTGAGGTTCAGAGATGCTAAAGGCATTGAACCAGAAATTATAAAGCAAACATTTGAACACAGGCCTTGCTTATGTTTAGAACCACCTCAGTACGCCTCAAATTCTGATACTACTTCAGTACCATCATCATCACATACCAGCTATTGAATGTGTTTTCTGTGTCCAAACAATCCTCGTCAGGCTAGTCCTATTTCACTGTCAGTCACTCATGGGCCAAACCCAGCTAGCTGTCCATTTTTTATAAATAAAGTTTTGTTGGGACGCAGCCATGCTAATTCATTTGCATAGCCTCTGTAGTTGCTTTTGTTTTAAATGCCATAATTGACTAGTTGCAACAGAAATCCTATTGCCTGCAAAGCTGGATGCATTTAGTAGCTACTTTTTATAAGAGGTTTGTTGACTCTGCCTTACTGTGGGGTTTGCTCCTGCCCACTAGAACTCCCAGAATCAGGAAAATGAAGCATAGGTGTCACAGATCCAACCAGCATTCCTGTGCACTGTGTTTTCTGTAGTGAAAATTATTACAGGACTGCTTCTACTTGTTGGAGAAAAGTTTACTCGTCTTTAGCTTGAACCATCTTAGAATGTATTATAATTCCTATTTTAAGAATATATGGAATTCAGAGGGATTAGATAATTTCCCACCCAAGTGGCTCTTGTTAGGGACAAGAACCTAACCAATCCCTGAAGTCTAGATAATTTCAGAAACTTTCGATTTTGTCTCTGAAACTAAAAGCAGGATCAATTTTTATGATTACGATTTTAGGAAAGCAAATCTTTTCTAACAGCACATGGTTGACAATACTAGCTTTTAAGTGTTTGACAATGGTTATTAATGAAATCTTACCTTTTCTCTTGCCACTCACCTTCTGAGAATTTACTATATTTAATTCCTTGTGGATGGATGCTTAAGGGCTTGTCTGCTTTATTTTTAAAGTGAACTTTCATGATGTCTCCAACCTCAGCGTATAAGGTAGGTCCAAGAAGTCCTATGGAAGCAAAAATGTTTAGATATTTGTGTTCAGGCTCATTTAAGACAGAGCTACAAAGTAAGAAAAATGTGCAGAAGAGCCTCCAAAGTGATGTTATTGTTCTTCCTGATCCTGTTGTTGACTTGCTTCTCTTGAACTTAACTTAAACCTCTTCTAATATTTGTACCTTTGCCAGTTCATTAACTATGGCTAGTCATGTAAAAACATGCTTTAACCCAGGGCAACTCAAAAGAACAAGTTAAATAGTTCTGACCAGATCTACTCACTCTGCTGTACTCTTTCCTTAAGTTCTGTCTTTGGTCAAAAAAAGAAGGATTTTTAATATTTCAGGGGAAGTGAGGGATTGGTTGCTTTGGTTTCTTCTGATGGAAACCCCAGGGACCTAAGTGCAGTGGAGTAAATCACACAGTTTTCTGGTACTGAGGCAATTCACAATCCTTGAAGGTCTTCATATCCGAGGAAAACTTGTATGAATCTTCACAGTAAAATTTTTACAGTAGCAAAGGGAAAATGGGAAGAGGCGAGTTGGTGGGGCTGTAAATCATAGGAGGGTCTATGGGCCATGGTGGGAACTTGAACTTCTTCCACACAGAATAGAAAATCATTGGAACTTTTTGTAGTAGACATCTTGTCTGGTATGTTTTTAAAATGTTTTTAAAATTTACCCTCATCATCAAAAATCATCTGCTATGCACAGAAAAGATATTTGGTAGGATAGGAAAGAGATAGTTGGTGTATTGGGTCAATGTGTACAATAATGAAGGAATAAAAGTGGTTGTTTTCTGGACACAGTTGAAAGTAAAGCTGACAGGATTTTTTGATGAATGAGATGTTACATGTGAGAAAAGTCGAGGAGAATGTCATGGCTTTTTATTTGAGCCACTGTGTAGATAATGATCAGTTACTGTGACAGGGAAAACGTCCGGAGCAGGCAAGGAGTGTAGCTATCAAGACAAGGCTTCATTCACTTGCTGTATGCCAGGCACAATGCTAGGTCCTGAGCCATACAGACAGACCCAGTCCTTGTCCCCTAGGAGATCACAAGGCAGTTTGATGCAGACATGCAGTAGGAGTGCCCACTGAGATATGGAGAAGATGCTACTGGAAAAGAGAAGATGCAGAGTTAGCTCTGGCTGGGGACTTAGGGAGGAGTTTAGAATCACATGCTAGAATTTCCCAAAGTATAGTCTGAAGTCTCCACTTCAGAATAGCCTGGCATCTTGTTAAAGGAAGACTCCCACTTACCACCTCAGCCTCAGCTCTGGAGGTGAAGCTTGTGACTGCATTTAAACTTGTCCTCCCAGGTGGTTCTGACATCCGTTAACTCTTTCAAATCTGTTACCAAAAGCTTCACTTCAGACAGAATGATAGGATAGCTGCTCCCATGTTTGGGGTTTCTACTTTACGCTAATAGTGATCAGAGGCTGCTAAAATTTTCAACAAGGTACTATGGCTCGGACCTTTGTTTTTCTTTTAAGTCTTTTTTCTTTTCATTTAAATTTTCTTTTCTTTTTGGTCCATATTTTGAATTTAAATTATGGCTGTGTTTCTGGAGAACAATCTGAGGAGAAATCAGAGAGAAGGTTGAGAGAAGACTGAAAGAAATGTTGGTGGTCATAGTGGAGATGTTCAGGAAAGAAAACATCAGATAATCTGTTTAGGAGATTAAACTTTCAGGACTTATAATAGATTGGCTATGGGATGGAGGGGGAGGAACATCAAAGTTTTATGGTGCCAATGAGGTTCTGCTTGGGAGCTGGGTGGATGAAGTTGACATGCCCTGAGTCTGAGGGTACCACGAGATGATTCCTCTAACAGGTACGGTAAGTAGAACAGTTTCCTTTCCCCTCCAGGTCCAAACATCTAGACTTTGCAGGTATGCTACTTTATATGGCAAAGGGCCTGTGCACACATGATTAAATTAATGGTTAATTGGGAGATGAAGATAGTTTTCTTGTTACCATGTGGGCCATCTGTAGTCCCAAGGGTCCTCATTAAAAGGATACAAGAGAAGCTTAGAAAGAAATGAGAAGATGCCACTCTCCTGGCTTTGAAGATTGAGGAAGGGCATGATGAATCAATGAACACAGGCAACTCTAGTAATTGGGAAAAAAATCAAGAAAATGATTTTTCTAGAGTCTTAAGAAATGAGAGAGCTCTGCCAAGACTTTGATTATAACCCAGTGAAGCCCATTTTGAATTCCCAAGCTCTAGAACTGTTACTGTAACAGAAGAAGGAGAAAAAAAGACATGGACATGTGCCAGCACACCTGGCTTAGTTGTGTTGTTTTAAGGCACTAAATGTGTGGTAATTTGTCATAGATCAACAGTAAACCATCCTTTCTGGGAAGGAGGTCCTGTCTTCCCTCCACCTGTCTTTCTATCACTGTTGACCTGTTTTTTTCTGCTGAATTCCAGGTCCTAGAGTTTAAACTGTTCTTGTGCCTGAAACTTTTTTGTTCATTTTTATGTTGGCTCTCACAGGACCATGGAGACCACACAGTTCACGCCTCATTCTAGAGATGGTTAACAACATCTGGGAAGAATCGTGTGCGGGGAGCAGGAGGCATGATGGGTACTGGCTTGCCCACGGTCAGCCAATGACTTGGTAGCATTGCTTGAACTAGAACTGAGGTCTTGAGACTCCTAAGGAAAGAATTTTCCCCACTACTCTCTTTGGAGCTGGCTTAGACCCTCATATTTTTGGAATAGTTCATATGATCTTTTTTTATTGTTTTCTGTTTTGGCTCCTGACCTCATCTGCCCCATTGATTGACCCCGTCTTCTGAATTCTGCCTTGAATCTTGGCTTCTCGTGGAAATATTACCTGTCTAGACTGTACATAGTCCAGTCTGTACTGACAATGCTGTCACAATGTGAGCTACATTTTGTTGCTGTGGTTCTTTTGCTTGGTTGATTTGTTTGTTGGTATCACATGGCTACAAATATCAGATGCCCAGAAAAACTTTCCTAGGTTATTTAACCTTGTGAGACCTTTTACATCAATGGATATTTTGACAGGTTGGGATGTTTATTCAACCTCCCTTCCTGCTTCTTTATAATTAAGGCATAACTAAAGGATGTTTTCATAAATGTGAGTCAAATGCCTTAGTGCATGTGGTAGACACATGGCTGAATACTTTTTTAGCTGCTCTGTACCTTCTTCCTTGGCCAGATAATCTAAACCCTTCCCCACCATCTGTTTGATGAGAGAAAAGGAAGGTTCAGGGAAAGAGTGACCTATCTTGGAGCCTAGAGAAGGACTACTTCTTGTAGTGACTTTCATGCAGCTGTGGAGTTAGGAAGACCATAGTGGATGAGCTAATCAGATCCTCTGGCCTTAGTTGAACAAGAAGCCCACAGGCAGTGATTTTAAAGCTCTTTTAGACACAAGTATTTCATTATCTTCATTTGAAAGATATAGAGACTTAAAACTAGTCTGTTTGAAGCCTGAGACAGATTACTAAAAATATACCTGGCCCTCCACCTGCCGAAGTGTCCACAAACCTCAGAAAGGTATCTTCAGGCTTCAATCCAATAGTAAGCCCTACTTTCAATTTGATAAACTAGTCTAGGCTCCTTTGGCAGAAGTGAAATATCATGACTTGCTCAGGGCTCAGCTAGAATCATACTCACCAGCTGGTTGGAGAAAGAACCACAGAAGAAGTACAAATAACACAGGACTAGACTTACACACTACTAACTTGTAGCATTCATATTTTTCTCAACCATTCAGAGGCCTTTCTTTCACATCAGTGCTGCATCCTATCTTGACCACTGTATGAATGTAATGATGGTGAACATAAGAGCCCTCCTATCCATGGGGAGTTGATAGCTAAGCAACTTTGGGAGTTTAAGAAGAGGCTGTATAAAAATAGATGCTAACATTCCTCAGTAACCCCAAATCAAATGCATTCTGGGATATACAGGGGTTGGCAGAAAGGTGGTGCTTAGAGTGAAAGGGATTAAACATGTGACCACTCTCACCAATTCTTAAGGTCTACTACTGATTAATAAGGTTAAATCAGGAACTCATTATAAAAAGCCTTTATTTGAAAGCATTTCTGTTGCGATGATCTCTCTTGTGAAAACCAATCAGTGCCTCCTTATATAAAAGTCTTCAGCCTTGCTGTGGTACTTTGTGTCATTGTGGCACTTAGCACAGTGACTTACTCAGCAATGACATTGGTGAACCTGGCAAAAGCCACCGAAGATGGAAGTTCAAATATCTGCCCAAGCCCTCTTGTTGTAGTCCTAATGGATATGTTTTTCATTTACTTACATCTTAGTTAAATAGTTCTTATAAATGTAATGAACATGCTAAACTCCACGATAGGGTATGAAAATGAATAGACTCTGAGAGAGGACAGGAGTGCCTTCAACTTCTGATGACATCCACAAGGTAATTTTATAGGCAACCTTAATACCCCATCCTTGACTCCCAATGCAAGTGGTAACCCTTCCACTTAAGGCCAATCCAGCCCCAACTTTGAATCCCAGCACTTCCTGCTTCTGAGCTTACCTCTATCAACCATTTCTCAGATATGTTTTATATTGAGTCATTAAATATTAGGCTCTTGTATTACTTTTTCCTAAAATCCCCAAATATCTTTAAACCTCTCCTTCCTCTCTAGAACTAGTATCTACTTTCCCATTTGGAGCCAAGTTTCAGGAAAGAATTATGCTTTTTTTGCTTCAGTGTCCTTGCCCACCACTCCCCCTCCCCAAACCCCTGCCATCTGATCTTGCCCCAGCACTCCATAACAAAAGGCAGGTTTTGCTGGTCCCTATATTAAAATGAATAGCTCTTGGTGCCTTTGGGCTCTGCTTCCAGGACACCGTATCGACTAGCTGTCCTCTGCCTTCTCTGGGCCGATTTTCTCAAGCTCTGGGTGACCTTTGCATTCTTGGCTTATCCCTTGGACCTCGTTGCTCCTTTGAGCTCTGTCTGGAGCCTTCTTTTCTCGTTAACTTCTCCTTGGGTGATCCTGAACCCTTTCAGAGCTTCATTTACAGCCTTGGTTAGGATGTCTCTCAAATATTTATATGTATCTGGCTCAGATCTCCCACCAAAAGGCAACATTTCTACACCCATCTGCTGATGATTTGGCAACACTATACCCATCTGCTGATCTGGCAACACTATATAAAAATCCTACTGACACCTCAGACTCCAAGTCTGAACTCATCTTCCCTGCACACATCCTCCTTTTCCTAAACTTACTTTCTTATGGAATGATACAGTATACGTTCTGCTATTCAATCCAGAAAACTTGAAGTCAATCACAACCACTTTCTTCCTATATTTTGTCCAATTAGCATCCTGTTTAGTTGACTTCAGCTCACAAGTGTCTTTGGAGTGCATCTAATTTTCTCCTTCTCAGCATCCCTCTGTCTTGTTTCCTCAAATTGGCACTAAAGCCCCATTATTAGCTTCTCTGGCTCTGAACTTCTTCCCTCCCATCCATCCTCCACATTTGGACAGAACAATCTTGCATACAAAGTGATTGCTTTCATTACGGCGTTTTATACATATGTGTCATCATACTTTGTTCACAATCATAGAACAATATTTTGAAAGCATAAACCTGGGTCTGTCTTTCTTCTACTAACATTATTTCAGCAACTCTCTGCTTCCCTTGAGATAAAGCTTTTACATGGTTCCCTGATCTAGCTGTTTCTGTCTCTATCTAGTTGCCTTTCACATTAGTTCCTTACTCTGTGCTCCAAATGTATTGATCCAGTTGTGGTTCCTCAAATGTACCATGCTCTAAACCTTTATGTGCTCTGCTTTTTTGTTTTAAAATGCACCTTCAATGCCCCCCTATTCACCTATTGTTTCTCTCTGTCTCTGTCTCTGTCTCTGTCTCTGTCTTCTCTCTCTCTCTCTCTCTCTCTCTCTCTCTCTCTCTCTCTCTCTCCCTGGCTATCAACTTGGAAATAGGTCAACTTTCCTTACTACTAGACTGAAAAGTCTCATCACGGTTCTTCTGTATCTCTGTAACATGACTGTCTGCTTAACTGTCATCTCAGCTGGTTGATTTCTGCAACTCTGCAACTCAGGGTGCAACTGTTATTCAGTTTTATATCCTCAGAGCCTGAAATGTGGTATTCTTAAATTGTGATAATTAAAAAGATAAGAACATTTAATTGTATTTATTTAAAGGTAAATAAATATATAAATAACAATAGACAAAGAATATAAAACAAACAGAGAAATGTAGGTATATAAATAGCCACAGCATTATGATATGTGCTCTAACAGAGGCACAATTCATAGCTACAATAGCAACAATAACAATGATGTAGCTAACTTCTATTGAGTGCTTGTTATATGTGAACATCATTATTAAATACTTTGCATTCATTAGCCAGTTGACTTTCACAGCAGAACTAAGTTAGTTCACAGTGCTGGGAGTACACAGAAGAAAGAAGAGGTACTAATGCTAGGAGGGGTGGGAACCCATGAAGCTTCAGAAAAGGCGTAGCCTCTGAGTAAGCAGCTGTGAAGCTGAATTTAGAACCTTGCAGAAAAGATACAGTGGAGAAACTGAGAAGGCATAGAAAACGAAGTCAAAAGGAAACAAGGGGAAAGTGGCGTGAGGGGAACAGGCAAAGAAAGTTTCAAGGAGGGAGAGTAACAAGTAGAGTGTCAAGTAGCCCAGAAATGGTCAAAGAGCTAGAAGTTACGGATGCTCCCATGTCAGAGATGGTAATTCACAGAGACTTTTAACTGAGTAATTTTAACAGTGTTATTAACATACTGGAACAGCTTAGGGAAGGAATGTAAGGAGATGGAATGTAGAGAATTGGTATCCTGGGGATCCATCTCAGGTCATTAGCCTTTCTCCTACAGGGAATCCAGAGGCAAGGGATGGAGAGAAAAGAAAAAGGCAGGTAGGGGGGCAAGGAGTGGGTTTTTTTTTCTTCTAGGTAAGAATTTACCTGAAAATGACTGTTTTGTTGTTGACTTTTGACTGAAGGAAAGTCTCCAGTAAAGGAAGGATTGAAGATGAAAGGAAACTAGAGAAGGCAGGGCAGAGTAGGGGCCGAGTAGAAGAGGCAGAAGGTGAGTCTGGAGAGCACACAGGTCTTCACAAGCTTGATGGAAGGATGGGTGAACTGATGATAAGGGGCCCAACTGGAAGACATTCTCCCTTGACGCTTTGTTACTCCTGTGTATGTGTTTTCATGGGTGAGATCCTAGAACCCTCACCGAATTAGTCTCAGACTAAAGAAGTGATAAAGAAAACAAGAAGAGATTTTCTTTGAATATCATAGCTATGTGGTTCATCATACTAAGTAAACAGAAGAAGAGATGGGAAAACTAAATTCAAGGAATAAAACACGCACAATTCCGTTGAATGAGTGTAGGCACCTGGAAAGGAGCAATAGCAACGACAAACTTATTCCGTTAAGCACATCTGTGCTTAACCTGCTAGATCACAAGCCCCAGGAAGGTCTGAGTCCATTTCGTCTGTTTTTGCATCCATGGTGCCTAATTCATTGTCAGTCCTACAGAAGGTGCTCAGTTGTGGTTTGTTAGATAAACAATTCAAAAATTCAAGCACTGGAAAGTTTTGTTTAGCTCTCCTGACCAAGGTTAAAAACATAGTTGATTGCCTGGGCATATGACCAGTACAATTCCGCAGCAGCCCATGCTCTGAAGAGCCCCTGTTTGCTTTCAGTTTGCTGTTGCTTTCTTTGAAGTTTTCAATAATCTGAGCAAGGAGCCCCATACTCTCATTGTGTCTTGGGTGCACATATGACGTAGCTGTGGTGCTTGCTAGAAACAACACACATTTAAACAAAAATCACTAAGTGAATCTTTAAAATCTTTATATTCATTTATTTTGAATGTATGTTGGGGGGCTCAAACATGCCATGGCATGGGTGTGGAGGTCAGAGGACGGCTTGGGAGAGTTAGTTCTCTCCTTCTACTATGTGGGTCCTGGGGATCCATCTTAGGTCATTAGCCTTGGTTGCAAGCACTTTGATCTGCTGAGCCATTTGGTCAGTCCACTAAGTAGATATTTTAAGCACAAAGAATATCTCATTATCTGTAGAATCTTATCTTTAAAATAAAAAAAAATGCAAGATGGGTCTTGTAGCACAGCTTCTTGGAAGCTAAGGCAGCAAATTTAAGGTCTGCCTGGGCTACAGCTCAAATTCAAAACCAGCCAAGAAAACTTAGTGAGACCCTGGCTCAAAATAAAAAGTAAAGTGTGAACTGGAGATAGGCTAAGTGGTAGAGTTCTGTCCTAGCATTAGACTCTAGGTTCAGGCCCCAGTACACAAGAAATTAGTATATTTCAGACTTACCTGAAATACTAGATCGTGGCTTTTCTTTCTGAAAATATGGTTCATACTCTCTGTAGACAATTTTCTTAAAAGAAGTTTTAGAATTCAAGCTAGAAATGAAATACAAAAACTAAATTGAAAGACATATGTCATATCTATTCACATTCCCAAAAGGTAGATCTCTGTCTCAGACCTTAAGAATAAAACCAGAATGACAGATTGTATTGTATTTCCAAAGCCCAAGATTTCACAAATATAAATAATAAGTGAAGTCAATGAAAAAAAATTTGGTATTTTCAAAAAGAATTTGTCCCCATGGGGCAGTTCAGAGCACTTATTGCTCTTCCAGAGGACCTGTGTTGGGTTCCCAACACCCACATGCAGGCTTACACCATTCCTTAACTTCAGTCCCAGAGAATATTCTGGCCTCTGCTGACACCAGGAACACACGTGGTGCACTAACATATAAACAGGCAAAACACTCATACACATAAAATAAAAATAAAGATAATCTTGGGTATAATGTCACATGCCTTTAACCCTAGCACTTGGAAGGCAGAAGCAGGTGGATCTCTGTGAGATAGAGGTCTGGTCTATATAGTAAGTTTCAGGCCAACTAGGGCTGTAGGGAGACCTTGTCTCAAAAATATATGTGTATTATATATATTATATATAGTAGTTTATCTTGATAAGTTTTTCCTTCATAAATTTAGGCTGTCTTAATTCTGCTTCTTGGAACCAATTTTCTAAAAAGGAAGATAAGCTCCTAACACAAACTCAGACTTTGGGTTTGGGTTAAAAGTGCAATTGAGGGCTTGCGGATTTAGCTCAGTGGTAGAGCGCTTGCCTAGCAAGTGCAAGGCCCTGGGTTTGGTCCTCAGGTCTGGAAAAAAAAAAGACAAAGGGAGGCCCTGTTTCAAAAAGACCCCCCCCCAATTACTAAAACAACAAAAGTGCAACTGAGTATATGAGAGCTATTTCAATTGATTAATCAAATATAATTTTTAAAAAGTTTTCAAGTTGGGGGCTGGAGAGATAGCTCAGCAGTTAAGAGCCTGGTTCTAGCATCCACATGGAGGCTAAAAACTGTCCATAACTCCAGTTCCAGGGGCTCCAACACCCGCCTCTGGCCTCTGGGGGTATTGCATGTATATGACATACATATAGGCAAAACACTCATTACACATAAAATTAAAAAAGAAAGCTTTTAAGTGGTAAATTGCATACAATTGTTGAACCCTATTTCTAGTTGAGATGATGGAGACAGCTAAGGGCAAAATCCTAGAATTTATATTGAAAACAAAAGAAAAAACTGCCCTGGAAAGTTAAATAGCTTCCTAAGAAGATGCAGTTGATAAACTGCACAGCCAAAATCCAAAAGGTTAAACCATTTCCTCACCTTTATCTAGACCCAGGTAACTACTGTTTCATTCTGTTTCTGGGATGAATAAGGCGAGGAATCTTAGTAACTACAGCACCATATTTCACAGGAATGATAGATGCTATGAAGGAAGAACTTCCTCCAGTTGGCCCCTTGTCAATAATGTGCACATTCTCCTCCCTAACCAGGGGAAGACTTGCCAACATATTATTCTATTATTACATGTAGTCCTCATATTGTACATTGGATGTGAATTTGTTCATACCTTGCCTTGTGTCCCCTGACCTACCTCTACCTGTCCCCTATCCCAGGCTAAACACAGCACGCTACAGGGAAGCCAGCAACCCAGTTTATGTTCTGCCACTGAACAGGAGAGACTAGTGCTGGGAATAATGTTGCTTTCTTTGGGAGTTCAGTTAAAGACAGTTCTACATGAGTCTGGGTATGATTTAAATGATCACTTTGAAATACAATATTTGACAGTGTTTTAAATGAGCTATTTCTAATTAGCATAAAGCCAAGATAGAACGTAATGCCCTCCAAAATAACCCAGTTACAATAAAAAAATCAAAAGCTTGTTAGACATTTATAGCAAAATATTATGTATTACTTTCAAAACATTACATTATTTTTTGACTCATTGCTTTGGTTTTGCAATTGTAAAAGAGGAACTCATCTTTCACAATTGCCTAAACTTTGATGTTAACTAAAAAGAAAAGAAAAAATGAGTCACACTAGAAGATGTATCATTTAAAACAGATTTGAACCAATCAATAAGTAGGTGTAATATTGAATAGACTATGATTTGGTTAATTTCATGAAGTCTTTTTTTTAGCTTTCCAATCAGAAGAATATATTTTGCAACACAAAAGTAGGGTTTGATATTATTTAAACGTCCTCTTAGTTAAATAGTGGCCTTACTTGTTTACTAACATGGGTAATATTATAGTAGACTAAAATATCCAAGATAAACCATATTCTAGGGAGTTATTCTGAATGAGGAAAAAAACCACGTCACATTAAGCAGCCACAAATAAGTCAGAAAAAGTGAAAGTACAAAGGAGCCCCATTTCCCTGAACTGATGCCTTGAAAGTCGCTTGTAGGAAGACAACAAAATTATGGGAAGAGCTATCCAATTGTCTCTTCATAATATAGTACAAGGTGTACATTTTATCTTTAGAAGGCAAATCTATGTCGACAAGAAATCACTATTATGCAACTAGAAGCTCCACTAAAAATAAAACAAAACGAACAAAAAAAACCCAGACTGCTAAAACTCTGGAACTGCTTACAGAAGGGGGCCATCAGGGTGCTGGAGGCTGGTGATTTGAACCAATCAATAAACTAAACCAACAATCAATCAAACATGGGAACAAAACTGCATGAAAAACAAACTCCTGAAAACAGTAGCTAACAAATCACATCGACTGTTTTCTACATTCTCAGTATGATAAATTGTATTAGTGGAGACAAAATTAGCAAGTACTAGATTTACTCAGTTCATTAGATTTTATTAACAATGTTTGCTCACACACACACACACACACACACACACACACACACACACACACCATGGAATTAAAACATGTAAAAAAAGAATCATGTAATTATATTGGATTTTTTTCCCTGGAGAAGCCCACCTGGACGCCACCCGGAGTTACCTTGGATCTGTGGGCTCAGGGCGGTAGCTCCAGTTGATGCCCTGAGCAGCCACGTAGAACTGCCTTAGCCTTGCTGCCTCTGTCCCTGAGCCACCCCAGCCTGCCCAGCTGCTGCCCAGGACCACCAAGACGCAGAGGCGCGGGCAGACAAGGAGCATGGTCCCTGTCCTCCCGCGCTGTCACGGTGGACGGCTCAGTTTTCACCGCGGCGAAGGTACCCTATGCTCCACTGTCCCTGCTGCGTGTCTCCCCGGCCACACGGAGTGCTAGGAGGCTGCAGGAGGCTGTGTCCCTGTCCCCCACAGCTGCTGACTGAGCCAGCCTCCCTGCTGGGACTCCTGAAAGCCGGGGCTTGGTGAGATCACTGCCCCTTGTGGCCAGAGGTATTTATTAGGGAGAACCAGAGTAGGGACCATTCTACAGGGGAAGTAAGGGCAGACAGCTGCTAGAGGCTTTGGCACAGGGACAGTGTCCAGGGCTCCCTTTCCCTCCACAAAGCTGTACTCCAGGTCTTCACAGCGGATGGGAGGGGTAATTCCCCCACTGTCCACCCCTAACCTACTGGGGTCAAAGTTTAGGCTTGCCATCTCTTCCTCCAGCCCCTCAGGTAGGCCCATCACCCTTCTGATCTGAGGAAAAGGGCACTGTGCTGTTACTAGGCACAGGAAACAGCAAGAAGACAAGGCCACCAGCTTTTCTAGTGTTTCCCGCCTTTTCAGTAACATCTACCAAGGCACAAGCCATCTGCTAAGGGCTTCTCACCACCTCCAGCAAAGCAGGGAGCAGTGCTTAGAGAGCTTGTCCCAGATAGTAGTTCATATTTGAAGTCTGCTTATTGCCTGTGTAGTCCTGGGCCCCTTACTCTCTACCTCTCCAGGATGCTCTTGACACCTGCCAAACAGGCATGGCAATGCTAGTCTCCCCTGCTATTGTTGGAAAGATAAAGGCGAGCTATAAACTGCACAAGTGCCAGTTCCTAGAAAACAGACAGCTTATGCCTATTTCTATGATTTAGTATCCTGCCTCCATGCCCTCCTGTATTTCCGAAGGATGTTTCACATGTTTTAAATCTTATTTTGCTGTTGGTGGAGAAGCAGAGAATCATGCTGCCTGAAGCACCAGGGTGTCTTGTCCTGGGTTTCCTGGAACTCTGTTCTGTCTATGCTTTACTCCTTACACACACAGAAAATTATAATGAGGCACCACCCAGGCTCCTAAGCAGCCTCTCTGTGCTCAATCTTGCCTTTGCTCTTTTGCTGATATTATTCTGTCTAGAGCTGATATTATTCTGTCAATTCAGAATGTCCCTTCTCAAGTCAGGCATGATGGCACATGCCTGTAATCCCAGCACTCAATGGGCTGAGGCAAGAGAACACCGAGTTTAAAGCTTGAGACCAGTGTAGGCTACACAGTAAGACTTTGTCTCAAAAGTAAATAAATAGGAAAAATGCCCACATCTGTTTTCTTTCCTCTTGGCTTGCTCATTCTTTAAAGCCTTTCTCTGATTCTAGATACAAATTTACTTTCCTGTTTAATAAGCTCACTCTATTCTGACTATATATGGATTACCCTTTATCATTTTGTTCAGATTTGTGTTGTGTTCCCAACTAGATTACAAGCTATGTTATTATAAGCTGGAACAATGCCTCGTACTTTTGATCTGCAATACCAGTGATTCCCTATGTTACAAGAGCAGAATTGCCTAGTTTTCTTAAAAATGCAGATTATGACTCAGGAGACAGGGTTGTAAGAAATGCTACTGGCAGTATATCTGAGGAAGTTTTCCAAAGTAGCATGTCCCTAAGTCCTAAAATTCTTACAGAATCACTGTAACCTTTCGATAGATCATGTTGCTGTTTTCACTTGCCGTCTGTTTATGAGTATCCAGGCTACATGACTGGATTCCATTTCACAATGGCAAGATAATTATGCTTTTTCACTCACTAATTTTTGCATCAATTGCAGATGAGCAATATATAACTTTCAGTAATATATTTATTTATTATTTAGGTGATATTTATTTATTAAATAGGTGAATTAAATAACATGTAAAACATATCTGTTCTTCCCTGCAGAACAGTAAGGGGATGAAGACTTTCTCTGCTTCTCTGATTTTTCTCTTGAAGCAGGGGGTATTTGACAAATATTTGCTGGCTTGTAGAAAGGACCAGCTGCTATTGGGATGATTGTAACTGTGAATCATGTTACTGGTAAGAAAGACCTTACTGGCCAAAACAGCAAATAGAAGAATGTAGTATTTGCAGGAGTCTTTAATTATACATTCAAACATTGGTCTTTGGGTGCTCTGGTGAAGGGAATGTCTGCAGTCGGATATGGCCTCCTGGCTCTGTTCTTGATCTTCTGTGGACTCTGGTACCGTCTGGAAGCTTTTGTGGAAGTCACAGCAGCAGAGGTCTAAGCAACCTCATGGAGAACAAACCCTGGAGACCCATGAGATCCAACAGGAGTTCCCTTAAGTTAGAGGTGTGCCTGCCTTCCAACAATGTAGAGAGTGCCACTTTTCAAACCCCAAATAAAGCGTCATTTTGAGTTCTCCACAGTCTGGTCTTCTGGTGAGTCAGATGCTCCAGTGCCTTTGGCTAACTGGTGTTTTCAGCGACAGCAAGGTCAAAGCCTCAGACCACAGCAGAAACATTTTTTCCTGCTTTTGAGACTTGTGGTTAGAGGAAGGTGAGGGGTGGAGCAGGAAGAAGTGGGTGGAGAGGTGGGAATGTACACAGTCTCTTTAGCACTGGTCCAAAGCTATTCTAAAGAAGAATCCATGTCCTTTATTCACAAGTATTTACAGAAAACCGCAGCAGATGCAGTGGAGTAAAGTCAAACCCAGCAGGAAGCTTGATGTCCACATGCAAAATCCTGAGAGAATGAACAAGTGACCAGATGGACAGGTCTCTAGAAATGAAACACACAGGTTAAAATACTGTTTCCTTAAAAGGTGATCTTCCATCATATCCATTTCCCAAGATTCAAGATAATCACCTCATTCTAGATTGTAGTTTATCTTCCAGCAGGCTACGTTTGCTAGGAAACATGACTTCACACTATTAGGAACGATGGTTTTTAGACAATTTCTGTTTCCCCAGGAGGTAACAGAAAATTTTTCAGGAACGCCTACACCACCAATACCAACTATCAGCCAATAATGGGAATGTCATACACCCTGGATTGAGTTATGTGCTGTTAGAACGTTTCTATCCTAGAGGGAATAGAAATCCTTGGGTGAACCCTATTGTCCTTCCATGTCACATGTGCTTCCCTGCTGCCAGTATGATTTCTGTCATGGCTTGGAAATTTAATACATGCTTAAAATTTAACACATGATGAATATAAGGAAAATCAAGTCTTATATTCTTGCTAGTCCCCTTACTTTTGTATTTCCTTCAAAAATATCCTCATAGGCAACTTACCTTAAGGGCTCGGGTCATATGCAGCATTGGTAAAGACTCCATATGTTCCCAGGTGGCTAGAGAGAAGAAACACAAGGATGACTCGTCATAAAATGCATAGTTCTCAAAACAGTTCAGCTCATGGTATCTCTAGGAACAACAGACTGCCACCAGCCCCTAGAACTCTGCTTTAATAAGAAAATTAAATGCAAAAGCAAATTTCAAGGGCCCACTTAGCAGCTCTGTGAATTGCACCTCACACTCATACTTTTCCTTACGGGGGATAGAACCAAGGGCCTCATGTATTCTGGGTGAGCACTGTATCACCAAGTCACATCCAGGGCCCTGTCCACTTTGTTTACCTGCAGAAAATCTGCTAAGCCCTAGAACTGTCTGTAGCCTCTCCTTGATGAGATAGCTACAAAGCTCTCAGTCTTGATAATTGAAACTCTAGCAAGGGTTTCCACAGAATGATAGTACTGCACCTAGGGATGTCTTTTGGATTTTCATAATAATCAAGAGGACTGACAGTGGGCAATGGCCAGAGATGCTAAATATCCAAACAGCACAGAACATTTCCATCTTACCTGTGAGGGTTCAAGGGGCATTTTCCATCATCTGAAAGAAGGAAGAGAAGATGAATAAAAGAAAACAATGAAATGAGGAGACAGAATCATTGGTGATAGAAATTACTGAGGAAAGTTAGTCAACTGATTTTCAGATAGACTCATAGAACAATCTGTACTGAACAGTAGTATTTGTTTTAGGCTAAATTAAACAATCTACAAAGTTTAATTTTAAACTCCTCTTACCTTTTTTCTATTTAGCTTTCTGAAAACAAAATCAATAACCCTGTTCTCCAATCTCTGAAACCTCCAGTCTTGGTGCTTGAGGGCCCCCTATTGTTCCATCCTGGTCTTTATTCCATTGGTCCTCAGCTAGCATGCTAACCTTATCAATAAATCCATGCCAACTCTACAGTGTGTGCTTTCATTATTCCTCCCTGATGACATATGTGGTCAGTCTCCTTGTATCTTGATCAAAACAACAGACTCCGATAGTTAAATCTTTACACATGGACATGTCATTGTCCTTTTATTTGGCAATAGACTGTTTAGATATCTGAAATCAAATTGGGATGAGCCCAGGAAAAAAAAATCAACCATTTCTAACTCATGAGTTTATTGATAAGGTTAGCA